TATTCTGTTAACTGATGACGTGAACTCCGCTTGGAACTATTTTCATAATAGTTTCATTTATTTTCTGAACATACATGCTCCTTTTCGTCAGTTCAGAATAAAGGGACGAGACAGCCCCTGGTTTACTCCAGAGCTAGCTGATCTCCTGCACAGGAGATATCATCTTTGGACCACAGCGAGAAAATCTGACTCAGACACTGATTGGTTGAGTTTTCGACAGATGAGGAATAAATGCACAACTGCTGTCAAAGCAGCAAAACGCAACTATTTTTTATCTCAGACCTCCAAAAATCTAAATGACCCTAACAGATTCTGGAAAAATATCAAATCTCTCTCAGGCACCCCCCAATCATCTGACCTCCCATCACAACTTCTCGTTAACTCTGTTCCTGTGTCAAATAAGCACGAGATCCTGAACTGTTTCAACAAACATTTTGTTGCTTCTGGTTCTTTATTTGACACAGTTACTAATGGAAGATCAGCCACTTCCCCTAATAACCAAACTTCTACAAATCAAATCCCTCCTACAAGTCAATCCTCAGTTAATCACAGCTTTTCTTTTTCTCCATTCTCAGTCAGTGAGGTAAATAAACTGTTAAAAGATCTTGACCCTAAAAAATCTGCAGGTCTTGATGAACTTCCACCTTATTTTTTAAGGCTGGCCGCTCATATCATCACAGTCCCTGTGACCCACATCTTCAATCTCTCCATAAGACAAAACTCCATCCCAGACACTTGGAAAACAGCCTTTGTTCTTCCTTTGCTGAAGGGAGGTGACCCCACCTCACTGAACAACTATCGACCAATCTCTAAACTCTGCATTTTAGCCAAGGTTCTAGAAAAACTGATAAACTCTCAAATCAAAAATTACCTGGACTCATTTAACATCTTACCTCCACATCAATCTGGTTTCAGGAAACAACACAGCACAACCACTGCTTCACTGAAGGTTCTTAATGATGTTGTTGAAGCACTGGATGCTAAGGATTATTGTGCTGCACTTTTCTTAGACCTGCCTAAAGCTTTTGACACTGTGGATCATAACATCTTGTGTCATAAACTCTCAGAAATTGGTTTCTCAGATCACACCATTGGTTGGTTCTCTAACTATCTTTCAGACCGGAGGCAATGTGTTCAACATAATGGTACTTCCTCCAGTTATTTAACAGTCAACAATGGTGTACCACAAGGCTCAGTCTTAGGACCCACCCTCTTTACAATCTACATACATAATGTAGGTAAAAACATCCCTAATGCATCCATACATTTCTATGCTGATGACACAGTTGTTTATTGTCGAGCTAAAACTGTTGCTAAGGCTTTCCAGCTTTTGAAATCTGCATTCAACATCATCCAGACTGATTTGTTTCACCTCAAACTTGTCCTAAATGCCAACAAAACCAAAGGGATGCTTTTTTCAAATAGGAAGTTGGTCCCAGCAGTTCTTCCTCCGATTTTATCCTCAAATTATGTTCCCATTGAGTTTGTTGATTCCTATAAATATTTGGGTATCTTGGTCGACTCACATCTCTCTTAGTCAGAGAGAGTCAGAGTCAGAGTTTCTTTATTGTCATTCGCACCTCATGTGGTACATGTGGTGGAGCGAAATTATGTACACAGGGTCCCAGTTACATCCAACAATAAAATGTATAAGAAAAACAGTAATAACATCTAAGATATGAACTAAGAAAAACATCAACTAAATATACACTAAGCACTCATAACATAAAACATTGAACATCAGCACAAACATGAACATGAGTCTGTGTGAGCGGATGTGCACGCATGAACACATCAACATTGAAACAGATCAGCAGCAACATGAAACAGATCAGCAGCAACATGATATGGTTTTTCACAGTGATTATTCTAGTTTTAAGCTCCATGTGGAAAACTTGGTAAAGAAACTGAAAGTTAAACTGGGTTTCTTTTTCAGAAACAGATCCTGTCTAACCCTGAATGCTAGAAAACGCCTTGTATCTGTGACTTTCCTTCCCTCACTTGATTATGGTGACATTATTTACATGAATGCTCCTACAAGAACCCTACAGATGTTGGATGCTGTCTATCATGGTGCACTAAGATTCATAACTGGCTGTGATTATCGTACCCACCACTGCACCCTGTATTCACTGGTTAACTGGACATCATTAACTTCACGCAGACTCTCTCACTGGTATATTTTCATCTTTAAATCACTTCTTGGTCTGCTGCCTTCATACATCTCCTCCTACATGTCTCTGCGTGAGTGCAGCTACAGCGTGCGCTCTCAGGACATTATTACCTGCAGTGTTCCCTCAGTGAGGACTGAACTAGGCAAAAGGGCCTTCTCCTATTCCGCTCCTGTTTCCTGGAATATCTTACAAAAAGATCTGAAGCTCTCGACCTTGACCTCTCTAAGTGTCTTTAAGAATCTGTTGGACACCTGGCAGGGTCCAATGCTGACATGTTCCTGTTTTTAGTTTTCTACATTTGTCTTGGAATCTAGCTGTTTTTTTTTTTTTTGTTTGTTTTTTGTTTTGTTACCTTTTCCTTTTAGCCATCCTATTTGTAAAAAAAATAAATAAATAAATAAAAACCTGCAGTATGACTTTTTATAACTGTTTATTGTTGTTGCTGTTGTCCATTGTTGTCATCTTTCTTTGTTGAAATCAGGTCTCTCTTGTAAATGAGTCCTCGAGGCTCAATGGGATTTACCTGTCTAAATAAAGGTTGATTGATGTCCACCCAGTCTTTTGATCTCTTATCTGTAAGATTCTTTACAACATTCATTATTTCTTCTTTGTCAGTTCCATTAAGAAAAATACTGTTGTCACAACTTATAACTGAATGGTTCAAATTATTGTCTACTTTTGGTATTTTAGCTGCAAGGCTTGATCCAACGTTCACAAAATGATGATTGAATCCATTTACAATTTCATTTTCATCATGGATTTCATTGTCATCCTTCAAAAAATATTGTGAAATACCTGTTTTTGCTTTATGACTTTTCAGAACACTATTTATTACTCGCCATGTAGCTTTCATATCACCATTACTTTTATTTAATAAATCACTATAATATTCCTTCTTGTGTTTCCTTATAATCCCTACTAATTTATTTTTATACTTCTTATATTTCTCTTCAGCCTCTTGTGTTCTCAACTTCAAGAAACATGTATACAAATAATTATTTTTTTTACAAGCATTTCTCAACCCTTTCGTCATCCATGGTTGGTCAACAACATTTCTCTTTGTACAATTATTTTGCACACAATTCTTTTCATACAGAGCTTCTAAAATATTCATAAACTCATCATATGATCTGTTCACATCATCAACATACACGTCTTTCCAGTTTTGTTTATGTAAATCATCTTTTAATTTGTCCATTGCTTTTTTTGATGTGTTTATTGTTTTTTTCTTAATTGTAATTTCTTTTGTAATGCTTTGATCATTTTTATAAATCATGAAAACTGGTAAATGATCACTCAAATCACTCATTAAAATACCTCCCATCACATCCCCATTTGTTACATTTGTGAAAATATTATCGATTATTGTTGCACTGAGTTGTAATTCTTGTTGGTTTTGATATTAACGGATAAAGATTTAAACTATACAATGAATTTGTAAATGTACTGATGTTATTTGAATCTGTTTTATTTCCCAGGTCAATATTAAAGTCTCCACAGAAAAAAACGCTTTTATTAAAACTCTTGTCAAATAGTTGTACGATTTTATCAGTGAATATTTCTATATTTGATCCTGGAGATCGATATACACAACTTATTAATATGTTTTTATCATTCTTGTTTATTATTTCTATTGTTATTATTTCCATGATATTATCAACAATTATTGACATTTCATTAATTAATTTACATTTTA